TGGCGAATTTTTTGCATAAATCAATTCATAGGACTTACATCCAATTAATGCGAATATGTTGTTCTTCATGATTATAGACATTAACTAAAAAACTACTGTTATACCTGTTTTTATATTAATTGCACTGAATGTGTACAATCCACAAGCAGTTTTATTTCCCTCTATGAATTTTAAGTTAGCTCACTTTAGATCTTGGTGTGTGATATGTTAAGGACTTATATAAACACGATAACATCCTCGAATTTCATCTTTCTAACTTTATCACCTTAAATAATTACCAATTCATCCTTGTGAATCCAAAAAATTTAAATTTTTTTTTAAATTCTAAAGAAACTTCCTCTTTCATTTGGTACCCATATTTTTTATCTCCATTGCTTTGAATTTTTTAAATAATTTTTGGAATCAATCATATCTTTAAAATTACAAAGTCCTTTAAAACAAGTCCTGAAGGTAGAGAGAGAAAATAAAAATGCCACTTTAAATAAAAAAGTAGGTTTCAAACCCATGGATTTATTATTTATTTTATGGTAGGAGAGCTTCTCAAACAATATAGAAGCAATTTTTTCGATTTAAGTTGTTCAAAAGTAATGAAGATCTAAGTCCCGGGACTAATTCGGCAATCCGGGATTGTGATGACGACATCCCGAAAATCCCGGGATCGGAAAAAGCTGAAAAATTAATATCCCTAATGCACATGTATGTTTACCTATAAATTTGTATTGTGTCTGTTATTTGAATAATTTAAAAAAGTTGTGTATACATATTTGGAAAAAAAATCCATCATACCTTGCCAAATTTAGTTTAGGGACAACAATGCATAAATAATGCACAGATTAACAAGAGTACAGGCAAACACAACGAATCAGTGGCGTAGCCAGGATTTGGCTTTGGGGGGGGCGGGGGGAGGGTGCTGAAAAAAGAATTTCCATCGATAACTTAAATTTGTGACACACAATGGCTAGAGGCGTCGCCTGAGTGCATTCTTTCATATATTTATGAATGTGCCAGTTTTACCGTTATATATTTTTTATCTACTCGTTTATTCCATGGAGTATTCAAGCTTTATTTAAATTTAAAAAATTAAATTACTATACCGTCTTAAAAATCTGAAAATTCACTGCGGGAAAGTTTTTTATTCTCTTTTTGTCTTCGCCTTCTCGTTTTTGCCTTTATAAGTTTTTAAAAAAGGTTTTGAACGAACGACATTCCTAGGCAAGTTTTGAAAGAATATTTTCTATACTAAATTTTACTAAAACAAAATGTTGAAATCAGCTTCATATAGAAAAAGTGTCATCGTTTATTAAGAAAGAGATGTTCCTATATATCATAACTTTACGACACTCACATATTGAGTAGATTTGACTATTTATTTTAATATATTTTAATATGAATAATTTGTTTAAAAAAATGTAGTTTATTCCTTAACAAACACTAAATGAAATCAAGTTTTATCTTTGAACATCAAAAAAATATCGACAATCTTTCTATTTCAATTTGATCTCTTAATATTTTGCAGTTTTTTAGCTCATTCAATTTTAGTCTAATAAAGTGCAAATTTAAAGTAGCTGTGATTTACAGATGATTTTTGACGATGTCGGTAATTTTCTTCCATATGATCTAAGTATGTTTCACGATTTTTTTAATGAAGAAAATGAGCAACGCCTCCACCAAAAAAAAAAAAATAAAAAAAATCAACGATAAGCCGCAGCTATGTATTTTAAACTTGCGCTTTATTTGAATTGATCGGGCTACAAACCTGCATACTCAAAATATGTATTTATAGGATATCTAATTAAAAAGCTTTGCGAAAGTTTGGACCTTGGATTTATACGGGTTTTGTTAAAGCGTAAACTTCACTTTTATAAACAAATAATTAAAATTATATAATTTTAAGATAAATGGCCAATCTAGTTAACATGTATAAAGTTTTGATAAGCACTTGAAATGTCAAGTTTTAGTACTGAATTCAAATTCTTCATCCATTCATAATAACTTAAAAAAATTTGTTTGTTAAGAAGTGCATCTTAAAATATCTGCCTTGACATTTATGTTAAAAGTGTAAAATATGTAAATGTACCTCTACATAAACTTTCCCGTGAATACCATCAAAGCATTGGTCTTGAAGGGAATCTATGTATGCATGCATGCATACGAGCAAATTAAAAAGTCGATACAATTTACAGTCGAAAAGTACAGCTTTTGTATAGATTATAGATTATTTCCCAACACTGTGGGGAACTAAGCAAAATGGCCTAGTGTATTTCACAAATATTCAAATACATAATCCACCAACCGATAATTTTATATATTCATTACAAGATAATTTGTCATCAGTCTGAAATAAAATATTATAAATCGGAAGGGTAAAATAGTATTGTGTTATTAATTCAAAAATAAAAATTTTCATTTCACTGACGAAATCCCCGCCCCCCTCCCCCCCCCTGGCTACGCCACTGCTATGAATACATTTTCAAAGAAATATAGAATTCATTAGAAATACATGCATTTTTATAGCGCAGCAATGCTACATAACTTTGGTAGATACCATTTAATTCATTCGCGGCTGCTTCATTATGTCACTATTTATCAAATTTTCGACAGGCCTTCCCAGCGATCTGGTACTGTATAAAAATAGCGATCCATGGCATCGATAAAGCGCTGCTTATAACGTTCTGGCGATATAACAGTTGGTAGTTTTCCAATGCCACCAAGTATACCAGTTTGTTTAACAAAGGACTCAACCTTTTTATCAAAAGTAAAAGTTCGTATATAGTCTGGAAAATTAATGGATGGAAAAGATGGAAGTTTTTATTTTGATTTGTATGTATGCGAACCTACCAATTATGCCCAATACCAGCACGTTACTTTTATGGTCCAAGCCTACAAGTAACGAATAATCCATTACTTGGTTTTTTTCCAAGAAAGTAGAGTCTCGATTGATAGCATCTTTAAGGACTGCCTTGCTATGTGATAAAATATATAATGGCTTAGACCAAGACACTGCAAATATATAACGAAAAATAGAATAGAAAGAAGTGGGCACGTGAAATTTTAACTTACTTTGCACTAAGTTTTCGTCCAACAGCACTATTTCACCCTGCTGATCGGTTGGATCTACTAAGCGGTTGCGTTCGGAACCCTTTAAGTCAAATTTATTTTTGATATCACAGCCAAAAAAAAGGTTCTCCATAACCAGTAGTGATTTTTCCGCTATTGAACTAAAAAAATGGAAAGCAAGCAAATATTTGTAATCATATTTTATTTACATTTTCATAGAATAATCGAGGTCAATGGACTCGGACCTAAAACAAATTGCTTTGTGTTTTTACCACCCAAATTTTGTTCAAAACGAGGCCGTGATAAATAACAAGTAACAAGTAGTAACAAGATAGTAACAAGTAATAATAAGTCTAGGCTCAGGCGAAGCGAAATTAGAAAAAAATAATAGTTTTTGAATATTTAATTAAAAATATCCTGGCCAGGATTTTTTCAGCCAACCCACCACTCGCGAATTGTAAAGTTAAAACTGCCAAAACTGAATGATTTAATTAAAAGAAGTAACTACTTACAAGGTAAGCGTCTGCGAACTTTTTCGCATATTTCTCTCACTGAGAGCAGATGTTGGATTACTCTCAGAAATTGGGTTACTGGCAAGTTACTGGACATCTTTTCAGTGGGGAATACGCAGACAAAGCTATTGATGCTGATAACACGGTGCTACTAAAAAAAATCCCGAAATACACTCGAAACAAAACTTGGGGTAGGCTGTATGTAGGGTCGAGAACATTATGAAAATAGGTTTCTTATAGCTCCTGAACCTTCCCCTTTTTTATTTAAAAGAAAAAGTTATTTTCATGCTTGATGTACTTCTCTATTAACAGCTTGACTATTTTTCATCCGATTTTTAAACTTAAACATGTTTTGGAAAATGGATCCTTCAAATGATCATCGGGTAGTATTTGAAAACCCCCATTTTTCTTAATTTTTTCTACTTTGACCATCGCTAATTTTAAAAGTTTCTTTGAAAGTTCCAAAATATGTAGTATTTGTCTATAAGTACATTTATTTTCAAACAAATTGATACCTTATTCAATGACGTCGGATAAAAAACATCGAAGTGAGGCAGTTTAAAAAGATACACGGCTTGGAGTTTATGTGTGTATGCATCGGACTTTCGGATTTTTTGAGCAAATCCTCGTCAATATTTCCTCGTAGGACCGAAAGAATCAATTTTAGGGTGGAAAACGCCCTCTCCAACGAAACCTGGGTTGTAGGAACATCAAAACTAATTTGAGACATTTCAGATAATTCTTTGAATGGGTCATTATTTCAGAAGTTCAAAACACCAACATTATTTGAAAGCCGCTTTGTATTATCAAACGATTTGATGTTATCTATTAATGATCTATTTTTGAGCTTCGCTTTATCCTTCCCTATTTCTTTTAAAACTTGATCAATTTCTTAATCGGAACTGAATTGAAGAGATTGACAAGTATTCATTAGCTTGCGTACCATTCAATTTTGCTTTTAGATTAAAAACCTGTACGATGTTGTCAATTGCAGTACCAGTTGCAGAATCAGTAAAGAGTATTTGATACCGTGGGTCCAGATATACAGCAGCCAAAATATAAGGGTTTCGCAGCAAAATTTCTCCATGTTTTTTTTTGCGTCTGTCAAATGAGATGGGTTACCTTTAATTTGATCTTGATATTAGTTGCGTTCGATAACAAAATTAGCCAACACCAGCCAACAATCAAAATCACGAGAGTAAGCGAAAATTCTCTCCCAAAGAGATGACAAAGCAAAAAAGTAAACGAACAGGAAATTAGCCATTACTTGCAAAAACCGGAAGAAGAAGACACACCAGCTGACTTTGTTTATGTTTTATTTATAAACAAACTGAAATTCATGTTGCCTCCATGGAAGAAAAAAGGAAAGTGAACGTTCAATGTTCGCCAGGAATATTTCTAGAAGTAAAAACTAGTTGGCGCTATCATAAAGTCACATAGCAGGCAGCCAAAAAGCATATAAATAACAAACCTCGACAAATCCAATTTTGTTTGTTTACAAAAATTGCAACCATATGTTTTGTGATCATATGTTTTCGTGTTGGATAATTTTTGCTGACTAAAATTTTGCCAGTACAAAATGAACGCTTGCTCTCTCAATTTTTGTGTGTTGGATAATTTTTTGTCGTTATCGAACGCCATCCAGTAAAAATTTGGAAAAACTATTACAAATTTTTGACTTGTCGAACGCAACTATTGCCACATGGTAAACAAGCACGTTATATACTATATTTAACAAAGAGAAAAAAAGGTAGGTAAATTTATCTATGAAAATTGATTGAAACGAAACCTTTATGAAAAGTGGTTCGGTTTTCGGTTCGGATCAAACATTTGAGTAAAATACCGGTTCGGTTAATGGTTCAGTTAATTAATATAAAAAAAAAGCTTTCCGGTTCAAAACCGGTTCACGTCCCTGATATAAACTTATAGTAGGTGTCTTAAAAGTTTACTAAAATAAACATAAAGCTTAAAAAACGCATATTTTCGGTTTACAAAACGCTTAAAAAAAAA